GTGTGTGTGTGTGTGTGTGTGTGTGTGTGTGTGTGTGTCCACTGAGTGGGGCAAGGGAAGGGTTGGGAGACAACTCCTCACAGGTGTTTGTCAACCTTTCCAGCTGGGGCAGTGGCTGTGGCCGAACAGCCGGTGGCAGGAATGGGGCTGTGACATTCAGAAATAGCCCCTGCAAAGGGGCCTCATGGACTTCCAGTCCTCCATCCAGAAGAGGACAGGACATGCTCAAGCTGTCCCAAAGAGGCAGGACAAAGGAGGGGAGTTCTGAGAAGCAAGTCCTCACAGAAGAGGGGTCAGAGTGAGTTAAGCTCCAATAACCACGGTCTTCTTCCCTGTACCCTTAACGTTCTGTTCCTACTGGTTCCCTACTGTCTGCGGTTAGTGAGGTTCCTTTTAAAAGCATCAAGACAAAGACACCTTTCCCCCAGCTCGCTCCCTCACATTTCTGTCCTGTTTCACCAAGTATTTGAGCGGTGAACAATCCTGTCTCCACTCCTGCACTCCCCAAGCCCCTCATTCCTGCTGCAGTCTGCCTTCTGCCTGTCCCTCTTGTGGAATTCTGCTCCCCAAGCATACCCATTGCAGTGAAATTGTCTCCCCCAGCGTTCCCTTGCTCTCTAAAAGCACTGGGGTGAAGGAGTAAAAAAACTATAGAAATTTAATTTCAACTTAAATATTTTCTCTCTGGTCCTTGATTCAGAATAGATTCCATTGTTTTTTAGTTTAACTGTCAACATTTAACTTTTTGTGTTTATAATGTATATAAAATTTAGAATTTTGCTTATATATAGCTTATAAATAAGCATAGGATTTGGTATACATATATTTTATAAATAGCAAGCAAGTCATAAGGGTATATGTTGAAGACTTGTTATCGACAGCATACTTTTTGTTGTTGCGGGGGTCTCACTTCGCTGCCCAGGCTGGAGGGCATGGCACAATCCTGGCTCACCGCAGCCTTGACCTCCTAGGCTCAAGTGATCCTCTGACCTCAGCCTCCCAGGTAGCTAAGTCCTGGGCACGCCATCATGCCCATCTAAGTTTTTGATTTTTTGTAGAGACAGTCTTGCTATGCTTTTTGTTGTTTTGTTTTGTTTGAGTTGGAGTCTCACTCTGTCACTCAGGCTGGAGTGCGGTGGCACGCTCATGGCCACCGTAGCCTCGACCACTGTAGCCTCGATCCCTTCGCCTAGCCTTCCAAGTAGCTGGAACCACAGGCATGTGCCACCACACCCGGCTAATTTTTTTTTATTTATTGTAGATAACAAGGTCTCACCAAGTTGCCCAGGCTGGTCTCGAACCCCTGAGTTTAGGCAATCCTCTTGCCTTGGCCTCCCAAAGTGCTGTGATTACAAGCTTGAGCCACCACGCCTGGCCAGTAAACATCTTCCAAGTGCACCACATCATGTTTAGTTCAAAGCACTTTGCACATAGCAGGCGCTCAATCAAATCTGTTAACCGACCTCTTAGCACTATGGTCACTCCACCAGGCTTGAAACTCTGACTTCTCTCAAGGGCACTATCCTGATTTCTCTCGTTTCAAATATTGCTTCTGTCTTCTGGTTGCTTCTTCCTTTTCATTCTCCAAGTACTTAGGGAGCCCCTGCTATGTGTCAGGTATGTCAAGCACTAGAGATACAGCAGTGAACAAGAAAACTAGGTCCTTCAACTCTAGCCTTGCTTACTTTTGTCTTCTTGTAGTTCTGACTTCCCTTCCGAATCTGGCTCCTAGATGCTTGCTGAAAATTTCCACCTGTGAGCGTTTCCATCGCTGATCCTGAAATCATCGCTTCCCACTCTTACACCTTTCTCTGGTCTCCACACCCAGGTTCAATTTGTCCGCTTTGATGGCCTGTTTCTTTGCAGTCCTATTGGTAACACTTCCCAGTCTGTGTTACAAAACTCACGTTAGAGCCCACTGGTTCTTCCCGGAGGTCGTTTTAAACAGCCTCTCCTGCCTTCAGTCTCTCCAAGTTGCAGTTCATCCTATGTCTTGCTGCCCAAATCATTATTTTACGAATTATTGTCAGCTTTGCCCCATAAAGGGTGGGGTGGTCGAGGGAAGTGTGAGGCCTGAGGCCTACTTTTCTCTTTGCTTCTTTGGAGTTGGAGTCTCACTCTGTCGCCCAGACTGGAGTGCAATGGCCGCTCCTGGCCACTGCAGCCTCGACTTGCTGGGCTCCCGTGATCCCTCTGCCTCAGCCTTCCAAGTAGGTAGAACTATAGGCACACACTACCACGCCTGGCTAATTTTTTTTTTTTTTGACTTATTGTAGAGATGAGGTCTCACCAAGTTGCCCAGGTGGGTCTCGAACCCGTGGGCTCAAGCAATTCACTCACCTTGGCCTCCCAAAGCGCGGGATTACAGGCTGAGCCACCAAGCTGAGCCACCAAGCCTGGCCTGAGGCCTACTTTTCACAGGACATTCTGCTTCACCCAGCAAGAAGAGACGAGGTCTTGCTATGATGCCCAGGCTGGTCTTTAACTGCTGGGCTCAAGCAATCCTGCCTTGGCCTCCGAAAGTGTTGGGGTTACAGGTGTGAGCCACCATGTCTGGCCTGGGATTCTTTTTTTTTTTTTTTTGGAGTCTCAC